TAGGACTGCCCCAAACCACTGAGTCAGATAGCCCAGCAGACAAAGACTTAGAGGGACATTACTAAATGATATGATGTCTGAGATTTGCTTTAAAAAGTCCTGAAGATGGAAAGAGGTCACAGTGTAAACAAGGTTGACCATGAATTGATCATATTCAAGCTGGGTAATGAGTATATGGGGGTTTATAATAAAATTCTGTTTTTGTTTATGTTTGGAATTTTCAGTAATAAAGCTTTTTAAGAGTGTACAACTAAGATCATTCAACTGGAAGTCCCCAAATCTTGATTATTAATCCCTGTTACTAATCAGGTGTCTGATCCTGGTTTACAGACCAAATTGAGTCAAGAGAATGCTCTGTGCTCCAGCATTCTAATATAGGGTCATCCTAATGTCCTCTAACGTCTCCAATGCCAAGTTGATTTCTTACTTTGCTTTGGAGAGCTTTCAAAAAGAACTAAAGTAGGGTTCAATTTTTAACCCTTGGTGCTAAATTAAGACATTCCCACCATATTTGGAGCCTTAATTGTCTTCAAATTAATTCAGCATTAAAAAGGCTAAAAAGGGGCCAGCCTGGGGGCCAAGTGGTTGAGTTCCCATGCTCCATTTCAGCAGCCCGGGGCTCACCAGTTCAGGAGCAGACCTACACAGCGCTCATGTGGCAGTCTCCCACATAGAAAAACTAGAATGACACAACTAGGATATACAACTATGTACTGGGGCTTTGGAGAGAAAAAAAAAAAAAAAAGAGGAAGATAGGCAACAGATGCTAGCTCAGGGCCAATCTTAAGGGAAAAAAAAAGGCTTTAGACCACTGTCTCAACTCTGAAGATCATTTCCTCCAGTCCAATCTGCAATGCAGCCCTCCCCATGCCTGGGGCCGTCTACAATCACCCCTAGTACTGAGCATCCTTGCTTAAGGGAAGGCAGAGACATCTTCAAATTTTGGAAAGAATTCAACAGTAGGAATAGCTATTTGGTCCAAGATCTATCCACTTGGGTGATTTAAAACTTTTTTAAAAATCCAGCTCATTTAGTAAAGCATTAGACTTTTCAGCTGCAAGTTTTTAGCAAAATGAACAAGCATGCCACCTGCTGGAGACTTCTGACCTTCCGGGACTCGAATATTGATGAGCAAGTTTCCTGGACCCCTTGCACTTGAGTCACTTGAGACCCTCTAGTTAAAAACGAAGACTCATAGGCCTCAGGCCAATCGAATTAGAATCTCTGCAGGGGCTCGAGAATTAGTATTTTTAAACAAGTCCTCATGTGCTTTGAGGTTTAAGAGACAAATGCCTTAGTCCCCGAATTTGCCTGATAAGAATCATCTGGAAATGCTTGTTTCAAATACTCTCGTCTGGATTACCCTCCAGGCTTACTGCATCAGGACCTCTAAGAAAGTGGGCTGGGACTTTAAGTTGTAATAAGAATGCCAAATGCGTCTTAAAAGATGAGCATTTGCTAAGGATGGCCGAGTTGAATGTCATATTTAACTCTAGATGTCCTGCACTAGGATAGATAAGCACAACTGCAGCTAACTGATACGTGGTGTGGAGAACACCTGGCAGTGCAGATTTGGCAATAGACCCTGGGTTTTCTGTCCTATGGTTTTAATTTAGCTCTGTAGTTTTCAGTTCCAGCCCACCCCTTGAAATTGTTGCCCTTAACCCCTAGGCTCCTGATGGCTTCTTCTCTAATACCAGTTAACAAATCTGTGATACCAACTGCCGAATAGGCAGACTCCCTCTGGGAGGGCCCCTCCCCCATCGTGTTTGCTCTGTGAACCTTTTCCCCTGTGCCGGCACCGGACCCGCTCCACCTCCCTTCGCTGTGGATCAAAGCCCCATGGTTAGGTCTACCTTTGGAATCAGGTTTGTGTCCAACAGAAGCACCAAGCTCCAGGGTTGTGCAGGAGTCACATGGCGAAACTTGCCCTGTTCCGGGATTTACCTGGAATTCTTCCAGGGGTCCTGCCCTACCGCCACTGCCTGAGCAGACACACAAAAGATGGCCTTTCTGCTTCCAGTTAGATTAAAAGTCCCAGTTACTTTACAGCAGCCCTGTGGGTGGGCAGAGTTCTCTGCCAGTTAAGCCTGGGATACACTAGGTTAAGAGAAATATAAACAGCCTTAAAGGAAATATTGTGATCATGAATATACCAGAGGGACAAACAGAATGCAAAATTTCCCAGACTTAACCCCTGAAGTGTGTTTTCACAGACCACCTCATGAGACTAACTATTCTGCAGAAAATGCTTTGGGGAAGTGTATTTTTTTTTCCCTTAGTTATCTCGGGGGCTCTTTGTTTCTAATGACCTGTGTGTCTCTGTAGTCATGAGGCCCAGGAAACAACACGTGTCAGGAATGGGCTAACAGAACGGAAGGATTATTTCCCAGCTTCCACACCATCAGTTCCTTTGTCCACAACTGAGTGTTGTGCTTGGTTTTCAGCTCCAAAGCTGTTCTGCTCACCACAGCACACTGCCTACCCACAGCACCTTTCTCAGCTCTCACGTTTCGCAGAGTATTTTCCTCCCTGTGTTTGTATCATTCCTCCTCTGAAGGCATCAACCTGTGCGGCAAGTCGGAAAACTGGCAATGGCCCTGGGTCAGTAACCACTGACCTACCCTGCACAGCCTGGTTGCAGGATAGTTAGACTCATATGTGTGTCTCTATACATTGGCCAAGCGTTTTCTTATGGCTGGGACCTTATCTAATGCACCTTCACGGTGTCTAGCTCAGTTCTGGCCCCAGGAGGTGTTCAATAAGTGTTGTCGAGAGAAGGTACCAAAAATGATCCACAGACTAAATTAGAACTTGGCCACTCTTCAAAGTCAAGGCCATCACCTACCCTTCTCATAAGAGAGTTTTGTTTGTACTTAAACAGTTGGGATTATTAAACCCTTCACTTTCAAGATAAATTCTAGCGTCTTCGGTCCCCTAATTTCCAGGTCATTTTTGATTTTGTAAGAAACTGTACAAGCAAATATGAGACCTTGCCCAAGGTGACATTTCTAAATTTTATTGCAAGCTCCTCTCTCACATAGTTTTTGCATGGGCAATTCCAGATGTGTTTTTTGATTGCTCATTCCACTGGGAATTCTCCCAATATTTGCTGTGGTTTCATCATGTTATTTTTAACTTGGCCAGCTACATGTCAGTTGTTTTTCTTCAAAGAAACTCAGGCTAGGCCTAAGTTGGGATGACACTTTCTCTTCTTCTAACATAATGTGAATTCCTAAGATTAAACACATTACTACCCGATTGTCTTCATTAAACACTCACACACACAGATATAAGAAACTGTTCTTTCTTTCCTTGACTCAAAGTTTTATACTTAACCCCACTTGCCAACTTCCCAAAAGATTGACTGAAATCAGCCTGTTGGTTCATTTCTAAGATGACTCAATGTATCTTGTCCTCTGTATCCGTCTGCCTCCTTTTCCTTCCCCCACCACACAAAACACAAACACAGAAACACTATGGGTTTACTTTCTACCTCCAGTTCGTACGAGGACTAGAGAAGACGTTGGGGAATGTATGAAAGGCAAGAGATCTACAGTCTAAATCATCTTCCATAACTTTCTACCCCTTTACCAAAAGCTTCCATAAAGATTTTTCTTCCTTTTTTTATAGAGAAGATTAAAAAACACTTATTTCAGTATGTGTCTCTAAAAGATAAGAACATTTAGTAAACACAACCGCACTTCGGTTACCACATCAAAAAAGTAGCAATGATTTCGTAATAGCAAATCTCCAGGCAGTGTTCCTGATTTCTGATTGTTTCATAAGGTCAAATCTTTGTTGATCTTTTTAAAAAATCAAATTCCAAATAAATTCCACATGTCGTGATTGGTGGATATGTCTCTTAATTCTCTTTTAGGTTTCCTACGCCCTTTAGGTATGGGTTTCCTTCCCATCTTTCTTCCCTTGTAATTTATTAGTGAAACTCAGTTGTTTGCCAGTAGCAATTCCCATGGCTGAATTTTGCCGCACAAATCCTCGTGGTGTAGTTTAACATCGACAGGATTCTCAAATTGGGCTGTAAGCATATTTATCTTTACGCTCTAAGTCATCAAGGAACTTGAATATATTAAGATAAATCCACCTGCTCTTTTGCCCGAAGAAGCGCTCCAGACAGTTTCTCAGATAACCTTTCCATTCAGTAAGTTCCCTGTCGTAAACTTCCAGGTAAGTAATTTTCGTTACTTTTTAAGAGCGCGCACAGTAAAAACAAAAAAATAGAAAGAAAAAAAGTTGGGGGTAATTTATTTCCTCTAAACATCCATTAGAGGGCGACATTTGCCTTAATAGTATATTTCCCCCAGTAAGTTTTAAGTTGCATCAAATTTGTTTTCGCACTGTCGACAAGCTGAACCTCATTACCTACTTTGACTTCTTATCTCACTTCTACGAGATGTAGCCACATCTTTTGTCCTCTGTTAATTTGGTCTCTCGAACTTGTGTTTTTCATGTTACTTTCATCCTTGACTCCGTTCTCAGTTCTAACCAAGAGGCGGCGATATTGTATAAACAAAGACCCTCAGAAAGGAAAAAGTAAGCCAAACCGCCAAAGAAAAAGTTTCACAGGGAAAGGGCCAATAATTTAAGAAGGAAAGAGATAAACCAGACATTTCTGGTTCGTGTCCAGCTCACGGCCCAAGGTCAGAACTGTGTAAGATACAGTACAAAGGAGGCATTCAGGAGCGCGGACCCCAGCGGCCGGCCGAGTCCGGGGCAACGCGCGCACAATGTCCTCCTTGATCCTGCGGCTCCGCTGGAGGGGCGCGTTCGCGTTCGCGCACGTGTGTGGATAGTTGCAGAACACAGCGGGCGAAGCGGACTGGGCGTGGATCTGCTGGAACCAATAGCGCTGTGACCGATGGCCTCTGGACACACGCCCTGAGACAGTTTACAGCGGCGCCGGGCGAAGGTCAGCGCTCATTCTGCCCCGGAGGAAACCGAGTCCCGAGGGGGCATGAGGCTTGTCAGTGGATCCACCGTTAGGAGGCGCGTTCGGCCAGGTGTAGCGAGCGCAGGCCAGTGCTGGGGACATTTCTCAACCTGGCGTTCTTCCCGTAGTAACCCTGCGTACGCACGCACACGCACCCTCGGACAGAAAGGATCCACCTGACAGCACGCGGTGTCCTGTAGATGTACCAGGGAAGTCACGGACTCCTGACAATCTGATCAGTTAGAGCCCTCGGCCCAGAGTAATACTCCGAAAACTGCGTGTGGAATTTCAAGGGCAGGGGGATCACAGGCCTCCTGGAGCCCGTCCATTTATCAGATTCCAGGTTAAGAAGAAATTCCGTTCTGATGGGAGCCTAGATAGCAACGTAGAGAAAACCGGCCTTGGATGTGAGCAAAGAAGCAAGCAGGGGCGTCCCTCCTCCCTCCAAACACACTGGAGTTTCCTCTCGGAGAACGGGAGGGGCTGGACGGAAAGTCCAGGAGAGGGTGGAGCGCCCGGCTTGGGCCCCCTCGGCTCGCTGGTGTGCCCCCACCCCCGGACCCACCCTCGACACGCCAGTGTGGGTGTTGGGCTGCAGACGGCTGGGAAGGGGGGCTGCGAACGCCCAAAGCCTGCACGGCGGGAAGGGGCAGCGCACGGTGACGCCCCGGGCCCGACAAGTCCAAGCCTCCCTCCCGGGCCTCTGCGCCCCGCTCCCGGCTCGCCCGCTCCCGCCCCTCCTCCACCGCCGGCCCCGCCTCCGCCACCACGGGGTTTCGCCCGCGGCGGAGTGAAATCTGCATAGTGGCCGCCCCTCTGGGAGATGATTGGTGCAGCCCCCGGCCGTCGCGGCAGCCGATTGGTGGGCCGCCCGAGTTATTTGCATGTCGCCGGTGGCGGGGGCCGCAGCTGCGCGGGCGGGCGGCCGGCGCCGCGCAGAAGTTTCCGAGCGCCTCCTCGCCGGCGGGGCGCGCGCAGGGCCCGGAGCCGCCTCCCCCGGCCGCCGCCGCCCGCTCGCTCGGGACTCCTCGGCGGAGCACAGGCGCTCTGCGGGCGCGAGCTCGGGGCGGACGAGGGGGCGCGCCGAGGGGGAGCGGCGGGGCCGTGCCCGGGGCAGCTTCGCGCCGGGACGCGGGGCCCCGGCCGCCGCCAGGCTCGCCCACCTTCCCGCGGCCGCCGGGCGGGCGATGCGGCGCCGGGAGGCGGGAGGGCGCCCGGGAGCCAGCGCCGGTTTCTGCCCACCTGGGGAGGGGAGCATGGAGCTGTGAGCGCCCCGCGCTCGGCGACGCCGCCCCGCGCAGGCTCCCCATGGCCGGGACGTACAGCTCCACTTTGAAGACGCTGGAGGACTTGACCTTGGACTCCGGGTATGGGGCCGGGGACTCGTGCCGCTCGCTCAGCCTCTCGTCCTCCAAGTCCAACTCGCAGGCGCTCCACTCCTCGGCGCAGCAGCACCGCGGGGCGGCCTGGTGGTGCTACTCCGGCTCCATGAACAGCCGCCACAACAGCTGGGACACGGTGAGCACGGTGCTGCCCGAGGACCCCGAGGTGGCCGACCTCTTCGCGCGCTGCCCGCGCCTCCCCGAGCTGGAGGAGTTCCCCTGGAGCGAGGGCGACGTGGCCCGGGTGCTTCGCAAGGGCGCCGGCGGCCGGCGGCTGCCCCCGTTCTCGGCGGAGGCGGCGAGGCGCCTGGCGGGGCTGCTCCGCAGGGCGCTGATCCGCGTGGCCCGCGAGGCGCAGCGCCTGAGCGTCCTGCACGCCAAGTGCACCCGCTTCGAGGTGCAGAGCGCCGTGCGCCTGGTGCACAGCTGGGCGCTGGCCGAGAGCTGCTCGCTGGCGGCGGTCAAGGCGCTGTCGCTGTACAGCATGAGCGCCGGCGACGGGCTGCGCCGGGGCAAGTCGGCGCGCTGCGGCCTCACCTTCTCCGTGGGCCGCTTCTTCCGCTGGATGGTGGACACCCGCATCTCCGTGCGCATCCACGAGTACGCGGCCATCTCGCTGACGGCCTGCATGGAAAACCTGGTGGAGGAGATCCGGGCCAGGGTGCTGGCCAGCCAGAGCCCCGACGGCGGAGGGGCAGGAGGCGGGGAGGTGTCCCCCGAGGTCCTGGAGATGGTCGTCAACAACGACGCCGAGCTCTGGGGCGTCCTGCAGCCCTATGAGCATCTCATCTGCGGCAAGAACGCCAATGGTAAGCGCCCGGGGCCCCGACCCATGGACGGGGTGGGAGAGGCTACCCAGAGGGGTTCATTTCCTAGGAGGAAGCTGGTGGGTGTGCCAGGACCTGGGAGAAAGCGTTTGGTTTGTGGGTGGAGGAGTTCATTAAATGGCTCGAGCCCTAGATTGTTCTTCTGGCGGCTGACTTTGGTGGGTGAAGTTGCGGTTGATCTGCTCCCTCCTGTTCTGCGTGGCGTTGGCACTGGGAGTTGCTCGCTCATTGAGCCTCTTGACCAAGCCGTTCCTGAACCTGTCGTGGAGTGAAGCTCACTGCCCTGCCCCTCTTTGCCTTGCTTGACTGGGGTCTGTAGCTGGCCTCTTTCTGGGACAGCAGGGTAGACTGTTGGTGGTTTTGCCCCTGGTCCTCTGCAGCCCGATAGCTGGAGAGTCCAAACTCGAAGGCCGGTGGTGGGATAAGTGGGATGAGAGGAAGGGAGCAGGAAGCCCAGGACCTGGTGCTGACATCCTTGGGCTTTGCTGTGTTGAAAGATGCTCTTCAGGCCCTCTTTTGGAAGATGCAAAGGTAGTGGTGCGTTCTTAACTCTGTGTGCCCAGGGCGGAAAGGGAACCGCATGCCGGCTCCCAGGAGCTGACTTTACAAGGGGTCACCAACCGAGTGAGCAACTGATTAAAACCCTCTGTGGTATGAAATGCAGAACCTGTGGGCTTTGCTGAAAGAAACGATGAGTGGGTAAACCACATTGTGGGGCAGAGGTGTGGGGGATGGGCAGCTGCCTGGCAGCAAGTCTGGGAAAGGAACCGTTTCTCTGAAGGATGACATGGCTTCAGTGTAAAGGGCAGAAGAACGGAAGCACTTGACCTTCTCCCTGAAAGGTTAGGGTGTGACATGCGTTCAACAGCAAACTACCTACCAGACTCCAGTGTCAGGAGTCAGCAAACCCTAAATTATGTAGAATGGTGCCATGGCTAGACATCCTTGCAATCTGGTTGGAAGGCCATCCTGAGGGCTGTCAATGACAAACAAGTAGTCAGTGGAAGAGGCCAGGTGGGTACTGGACAGGCAGGCAGGGAGTCATTTAAACCTGGTTTAACATAATCATAATAGCTAAAGTTTAAAATGAGCAGTTAATGTGTCAGTGACTTTTAAACAATTTATCTGTCAACTTAAGTAATCTTAGAAACCCTATAGGGTGGAGGGTTATACCTACAGTATTATCCCCATGATACAGATGGGGAAACGCAGGTCCCCCGCCGGTAAGGAATTTGCCCAAGATTACACAGGTGTTAAGTGACAGAAGTGGAATTTGAACCCAGGCTGGCTCCAGAGTTCAAGCTTTTGGCCACCAGAGGTAAAGGAAACGACTTCCTTTTCATTAGTCCAATTTCCAAGGAGAAGGGTTGACATCTTAGGCTTCATTCTGAGGTTAGTCTGTATGTACCAGTGCGGCCGCCTCTGACTTGTGTTGGTTTTGCTTTTAATTCTGGCACTGCCGGAGGAGATGCCTGGAATGGAAGAGCATTTGCCTTTTAATTTTCCTCCTCATAAGTCAGAGTTGAGGTCAGTCCAGAAACTCAGTTGGTGACATCACAGCTGATAATTGTACTTTGCCTCCAGGTTTGTGGCATCAACACGGGGAACACAGCTCTCGGGGAGAGGAAGCGCAGGGCAGGGGGTTTCCATCCTTGTCATAACCCGGGAAGAGCTCTGAACTTTTGGCTGAGGGGAGGCCCAGACTGAACTCCAAGGAGGAAAGCCTCCTAGGAGAGAAGGCTGAGGCCCAGACCCTATAAACCAGACTAGAATAACGGTGGAACAGCAGCTTCCAAAAAAAGCAGAGGCGTGCAGTTCCTGCAGAGCGCGGCCCAGCAGGGAAGCGCTCCTCCTCATTTTCCAGCTGCAAACCGAGACTGGTAAGGGCAACTCTCTCTAGGGTCCCCCGAAAATGCAGAGGGGCCATAAATTGCTAGAACACACGTGTCTTCCACTAAGGGACTTATCACAAAGGGCTGTTTCTTATCCAGGGTCATCACTCCTTGGGATTTTCTTTAAAGGGTGGGTTTACGACCCCGTGATTTGACCTCTTCCCTACGGCCCTCCCTTGCCCCAGATGACCCTTCTTAAGCCTTGGTAGTCAAGACAGCGGGACTCTGTGTGACACACAGCAAAGCTCCCGGGCTGTTCAGCGCAGGCGTCTCCCTCTGTTACTTCCTTGGTCTCCCGGGGAGGTGACCATTCACTTCCACTTAGTAATGTGGATGCTCATTTTTTATACATGAAAACCTGAGAGTGGCCTCAGTAAACAATAAGGAGGCTGATGGATTAAGTCTCTTTAGACAAAGTGAAATGAATGTTTAGTAGAGGAGCAATGAATTACTTATGCCTGAAAAGTGACTTCAGAGGGAAGCATACACTACTTAGGAAAGAAGTGGAGACATCCAAACCTTTGTTATACTAAAGTAATCCCTCGGCCACCAAGGGTGCCATTGACACAGCTGAAGACTACGTGGGAAATGGCTACACAGGGGAGGGAGAGTCCTGGTTTGTATTCCCATCCTGCTGGTCTTCCCTTTAAATTATATCTTTGTTGTTGTTATGCCTGCTGATTATGCAGCATGAGCACATGCATTTGACTCAGCTGTACAGGGCTCTTAAACTTTTAATGTCTCCCAACTAGGAACTTAAGGGCCCTCGTCCATCTATTCCCGTCCATTACTCAGAGTGCTGGGCAAACATGGTTTCGCTCAGCCCAAGATAAACGATAAAAGTTCTGAAGTGTTTATAAAACATGATCTCAGCCTTCTAGAGCGGCAGGAGTCATATAGCGCTTGCTCACTTGGTGTTGATGTCCCTGTTCCCAGGGCAATGTCTTTAAGAGATGATATCTCCGTGTCTTCCTTATGGGAGGCAGAGAAACCGATTTAATAGAGTAGTGTTTATAAACACGGAGCTGGCAGAAAAACAGACACTTCTGTCCTCTCCCTCCCCCGTCTCCTTCTCTCTCTCCAGTGCCTGTGTGTGAGTTTGATGCTGAGCTCTTCTGGCTTTCTTCTTGGCCATTTTTCTAAGCTTTCGTGCGCGTCCATGGCATTTGAGAAGATCCTCTTTAGTTTGAGATTTGGGGTTAAATGATGGGATTTTGGTGAGAATATTCTTACTCCAGAGCAGTAACCATGTGTGTGGGAGTGGCTCTATTGTTGTGGTAGCACACACTTTGGAATCACAGTGCGGGTCTGAAGCTCCCCTCTGCCGTTTAGATGAGTGGCCTTAATGATTCTAAGCCTCAACTTGTCATATGTAAAATGAGGGTGGAAGGCACCTAACTCATGAGGGCTAGGTGAGATCGTAGGCTTAAAGATCTTAGCACATAGTAAATGCTCAATAAATAGCAGCAATTCATTCAACAAGTATCTGTGGCGTGTGGACCCTGTGCCGCTGCTGTGAAAGTGCCGTGGATTCCGTGGTGAAGGAGGAGGGTCTCCCTCTCGCGAAGCTTACAGACCAGTGGAGGAGACAAGTAAACACACAGGGGTTTACTCTTAGCAGTAAGTGTGATTAAAAAAAGAAGAGGTAATGGGATAGTGTGAGTGGGGCTCAATTAAAAGGCTTCTGCGAAGTTTATTAGTAATGGGCAGTGTGTCGGTACTGCTGCTCTCTAAGGACTTCTAGGCAAAAAATAGTTGCTGAGGCCTTTTCTGAATTATTATTTATCAGCGGAGGCAAGTCCCAACAATCTCATTTGCAGCTGCGTCTCCAGCAGGATGAAAACTATTCTCTTAGTTGTAGGATTCCTGCAGCAAGGAGGTTGAAGATGGTTTCCACTGAGATGACCAACCGCAGGAGCAAGGCTTAGTTGAGCCACTGTGGCTGTGGAATCAGTTTCCGAGCCTGGGCAGTCTGGGGGAGGAGGCAGCTTCCCTTCTCCTTGACTGTTTTATTGAAGCCGAGGGGACTGGTAAAGATGAAACAAAGCAAGCTTGGGAAATGAAAACTTATTTTTTTTCCTTGAATGCCTGAGAAATGCAACCCCAGCCCGAAGTGTTAGAGGAACAATGTGGAGTTGTTCTGTTTCCTCCAGAAAGCTTTACCGGACTCCTCCACCCCCGCCTGGAAGAGCCGCCAAGCTTTGAGGTT